GATGATTTGTACTTGCTGGTCCTTAAAGAGACGATTTTGCAACTCCTAAATCGCTTATGTATTCCCAATATTGATGGCCTGAGGGAGACGATTCTAGAGGAGGCACACAGTTTGCGGTATTCTATTCATCCAGGTGGCACGAAGATGTATCGTGACCTGAGGTAGCATTATTGGTGGCAGCGGATGAAAAGGACATAGTTGAGTATGTGTCTAGATGTCTGAATTTCCAGCAGGTTATGTACGAGCACTAGAGGGCAAGTGGCCTACTTTAGCAGATAGTTATACCGGAGTGGAAGTAGGAGCGCATCACCATGGATTTTGTGGTTAGTTTTCCGCGGACGTTAAGGAAATTTGATGTTATTTGGGTCATTATCGACAGAATGATCAAGTCTGCACACTTTATTCCGGTGATGACTACTTATACTTCAGAGAGATTGGCCCAGATTTTATATTGAGGAGATTGTTCGGTTGCATGGCGTGTCTATTTCCATCATTTCAGATAGAGGCACTCAGTCCAGTTCACATTTCTAGAGAGCTATACAAAGTGAATTGGGTACCCGGGTAGAGCTCAGCACGGTCTTTCATCTGCAGACCAACAGAGAGATGGAGTGCACAATTCAGATTCTGGAGGATATGCATAGAGTATGTGTAATTTACTTTGGAGAGAAGTGGGATAGATTCTTACCATTGGCCGAGTTTGCTTATAACAACAGTTATCAGTCCAACATCGAGATGGCTCCATTTGATACCTTGTATTGTCGGCGATGTCGTTTCCTCATCTGTTGGTTTGAGCCCGGCGAGGCTAGGTTATATGGTATTGACTTGGTAAAGGATGCGTCGGATAAGGTAAAGTTGATTCAGGAGCGACTTCACACAGCACAGTCCAGGTAAAAGATTTACGTGGATCAGAAGGTGCGTGATCTGTCATTCAAGGTGGGCGAGAAGGTTCTCTTTAAAGTCTCGCCAATGAAGGTACCATGAGGTTCGGATGGAGGGGCAAGCTGAGTTCGAGGTTTATCGGTCTATTTGAATTGTTGGAGAGAGTTGGAAAGGTCGCATCCAGGCTTGCTTTTCCTCCTAGTCTATCTAGAGTTCATCCAGTATTCCACATGTCTATGCTTTGGAGGTACCATGCCGACAGGTCGCATGTGTTGGATTACAATACAGTTTAGCTAGATGAGAGCTTGGGTTATAAGGAGGATCCAATTGCCATTATTGACAGGCAGGTCCGCAAGTTGAGGTCTAAGAAGATTTCAACAGTGAAGGTCCAGTGGAGGGGTCAACCAATCGAGGAGTCAACTTGGGAGACCAAGGAGGATATGTGGAGCAGATTTCCACACTTATTCGGCACTCTAGGTACAATTCTACACCTGTTTGAGGATAAACATTTGTTTAAGAGGTGGAGAATGAAACGACCCGATCGGCCATTTTTATTTTTAGATCCTCATTCCCTTATTTAAGACTTCATGTATGTACTTTTACTGTTTTATGACTTGCGGGAGTGGTTGGTTTGGTTTCGAAGGACTTCAAGTTTAATTCGGAACACTTAGTTCTATAAATAGTGGCCCAAGGTGGCCAACTTTAACTTGAGTCAACAGTTTGAGTATACGATGTCGAAATCGAGAATTCATGGTTCTAATAGGTCTATATGATAATTTTGGACTTGGGCGTATATTCTCATCGAGTTTTAGGAGGATCGGGAGAATTTTGGCGCTTGTTGTTGAAAGTTGGCGTCTTGAAAGTTTTAGAGTTTTCTAAGATTGATTTGAAGTAGACTTTGGTGCTATTGATGCCTATGTGGGATTCCGAGCCTTAGAATAGGTTCGTATTGTAATTTGTTATTTGTGTGTAAACTTTGCCGTCATTCCAAGTTTTCTAAGTATGGTTCGTCGCCTTCGAAGCTAGTTGGAATGAGTTTGAAATTTAGAAGTTGATTAATTTGGTTTTGAAGTGTGATTCTTGGTTCCCATATTATTTTACATGTTTCGAGACTTCGAGTAGGTCTATAGTACGTTTATGGACATGTTGGTACATTTGGACGGGGTCCCGGGTGGCTCGGGTGTATTTTGGACCACCCGGAGCAAAGTTGAAGTTGGCTGAAATTGCTCGTATGTTGGTGTGCTTCGCGATCGCGAAGGTAGTCCCCCGATCACGAAGAAGGCTGGACCGGGGGAACTGAGGTTTACTCTTCGCGAATACGAGGAGGTCCTCGCGAACATGATGGAGGACCTGGCTCCTCTTGGTCAACGCGAAGAGGGATGGGGCATTGGGGCTAGAAGGTTGTTAACCTTCGCGAACGAGGCTTCGGTACCGCGAACGGGAAGGCCTAGGGGTATTGGATATCGCGAATGTGACGCGTCTCTCGCGAGCACGTTGAGGAGGGAGCTGGGCTGAGCCAGATTGGCCTTCGCGATCGCGAGGCACCTTCCGTGATCGTGAAGAAGGATTCACTGGGCAGAATTACTATTTATTTTGGGACATAGCCCATTTCTCTCAAATTTTCACTTGAGTTGGACGAAATTGAGAGCTCTTTTGTGGGGGGATTTTATCAGCATCACAAGGTAAGTGATTTCTATTAATTTGAGTTAAATACAAGAATTATGGGTAGATTTTAACATAACAATTATGGAATTTCAGGATTTTTGTTGAAGAACCTAGGGTTTGGTAAAAATGATATTTAACCACGAATTTGATTATGTAATCAGAAATAAATTATATATTTGCGTTCGTAATGTCATGGGTAACGTTTATCTTCAAAAATTTATGAAATCCAAGCACGTGGGCCCGGGGGTGACTTTTGTGGAATTTTCGAATTGGGTTAGAAAATTACTCTAATAGTTAAATTATGAACTTTTGGACATATATTGATTAGTTTGTATGACGTTTGACTAATTTCGGATTGCTCGGCGTCGATTGGAGGCTACTAGTAACGTTTAAGAGTCGAGTATTGAGCTTGGAAGCAAGATAAGTCTCTCGCCTAACCGTGTAAGAGGGAATTATTCCCATATGTGTGTTAATTATTGTGTGCTACTTATTGTGAGAGCTACATACGCACGAGGTGACTAGAGTCCGTACATAGCTAAATTCATAGTTATGTCGGAGCAAACTTCGATTCACATCATGCCTTAAATGTGCTATTTGAATTAATATTGTGTATTTAATTTCTTTAATTTATGACTGAGATTGAGACTAGAATAAAATATTGACCGAGTCTCTTATTTTGAAAATAGTGAAATATTTTATGAACGGTAGTTTCGTGTCTTCTCGACTCGCGTGTATTTTCGCGAGCTAGAGAGTTTCTCTATTCTTATGGGATCGGATCGTTCACCTAGGCAGAATTGTAAACTATTCTTATGGGATCGGGTCGTTCGCCTCAGTGGTATTGTAAATTACTCTTATGGGATCGAATCGTTTGCCTCGGCAATGTTGTGAATTATTCCTGTTAGATCAGGTCGTTCGCCTCGGCAAACTCGTGCGTAACACTTTAGAGTTGATTTGGTATTGATATTACTTGATTTTGTGCCTTCGAGGCTCATTATGGTGTTTTAGTGATTTCGTAACAATCCATGCTTGAAAAATTATTATTAAGCTTATATGTTTTGTTGTTGCTTGTTGTATTTCATACATGTCTACTTCATGTATTTTATTATTTTGACCACTAATAAGTGTGAAGTCGACCCCTCATCACAGCTTCTTCAAGTTTAGACTGGATATTTACTGGGCACGCGTTGATTTACATATTCGTTCTACACTTCTGCGCTGATTGTGTAGGTACTGACACAGGTACTTCTAGTGGTATAGACGCATCATATGAAGATTTAGTGATGAGCTTCCTTCCATGCTTCGACCTGCAGCATGCGGAGTCTCCTTCTTGCCTTATTTACAGTTTTTGTCTATTTCATTTTAGACTGTAGTTGTAGCAGTTTTTTATATTTCCAAGATTGCTCATGCTTTTGTTTGCACCGGAGAAGTACGTATAATTTGCAGATATAGTTCCAGAATAGATTGGTAATTTACGGAACTTGCGGCAATTGCAACTGGAGAACAACCACAGTGGGTTCAATACGCGCACCGTATTCAACATTTCATCACTACGACTAAATTTTAACGCTAACAAGTTATTAGGTAGTTTTTAAGCAATGTGCTCTTGTTTCGTAATCCAACTCCAGGCTAGTCTTGCCATAGCATAGAAAGTGGCCCATTAGTTGTTAAATTGGATACATAATCAATTATATAATTACTAATACATTGATGCAACGTTGGTAAACATGAGCAATCATATATGAATTGCTATATTGACAGCAATTTTAATCTCATTTGAAATTAGTGTGTAATTATATGCATCTGAATGTATCAGCCAGCTCACGGTATCTATCGGCACTAATTAGTTTCATAGAATCTCCAAACCAAATATTTTCTCTTCAGATTTGTATAATCAAATATATACAACTTTCCCAATAGAAAATACATCTGCCAGAGTTTCGTTATGGGGGTCATTTTAACATGAGAAATTTATTAGTATGCGATGATAGTTAATTTTAGTTGTAATAGAGAAAAGAATAAGCACACAAATAATAAGTAAATAAATAAGCATTATGGATACATAACATAGAGACAGTGCACACTTTCTTAATGAGGTGATATATATATATATATATATATATATATATATATATATATGCGATTAGCATACATTAGTTTTGTATTTCATTACAAGCACTATTATCACAAGTAGCTTCCACGCTCAAGGTTTTGACAATTTGGCAATATGCATTATGTGCAGCCCTATTTAAGGCAATTAATTTTTTGCCACTAAATTTTCCCTTTCCCACAAATTTTCCATCAACAAAAACTTCAATTTCTCCTGTTTCTTCCCATTTATCAACAAGTTCAACTCTCCATCCACTTTTCTGACAAACCTCATAGAAATTTGTAACTGGATGAGTTTCCAGATTTGCTGGAGTGATCAGAGGCTGCAACAAACTTTCTGTAACCTGTCCAAACTATAGCTTGTTAATAGGGCTTTCTTCTCCACACATAGGCATATCTAATATTTAAAGTTAACAAACAGTGTAGTCACAACATCTACTTACTATTTTGTGACCGTAGATTTGAACTTCGTATATACAGTGTACTAGTATTGGTGCAAAAGAGTGACGAAATCCATATGGATTGAAGGCAAATGTGAGAAGTAAAAGGCAACATGCTTCTTTGAAGTGAATGGACAATTTACGAGAAACTTAAAAATGCCAAACATATATGAATTCAGTACTTTTAATAATTACACTGCAATTAAGATAACTAGTTCAAGTATCTTAACTAAAATAATGTTTTTTCTATTCTCCCCATGCAAGAGCTGCCCACCTTGCTCTTGGGGTGACTCTGAACTCACAATATTGATTGGAAGTGAAGGGTGCTCACCACTTGAGCAACCCAGTCAAGTATCTTAATATGATATAAAATAATGTTGACCCCTCAAAGTTGAGCTCGAAGAATTGACGCTTTCCGGGGATCTATCGGAAACAGCCTCTCTACCTCTCCAGATAGGGGTAAGGTCTGCGTACACAGTACCCTCCCCAGACCCCACCTGTGGGATTATACTGGGTTTGTTATTGTTGTTGTATTTCTTTAAAAAGTGTATGATTTACTTATAGTGTATGACTTTAGGCAATAAGCAGTAACCCCATGCTTCACATCACTTTGTCGCATTAAGCGATGACTTTAATAACGCCTGAATATGTGTGTACATGTGTTTGAGCAAATGGGGTCAAGCCTTGCATTATTCCAATAATATTGGGAAGGATGCCCGACGGGTACATTTCTGCCTTGCACCTGAAAGAAGGGAGTCAAGAACCAGGAGCCCACATTTCTGGCCTCCCTTTGTGCTGAGGATGTCAAGCGCTCTTTCGGTCCTATCCGTGCGACCGTGAAGAAGCTCTTGTGGAATATGAAAATGTGATGCCGCAGGAACTGCCAAAGCGTTTGCCGCCAAGGAGGACTATGGATCACGATATTGAATCAGTGTCAGGTGCGAAGCTTCCTCCCCGTGCGCATATAGAATGTCACAACCCGAGCTCGCTGAGCTTCAGAGAAGTTGGCGGAAATGCTTGATTCAGGAATTATTGTGCAATCAAAGTCTCCTTATGGTTCGCCAGTGTTGTTCTAGAAGAAACATGATAGTACCCTAAGGTTTTGCGTTGAGTATCGGGTCCTTAACAAGATTACGGTGAAGAATAAGTACCATACCCCGCTGATGGAGGACATGATTGACAGATTGGGGGGCGCAACTGTGTTTACCAAGATTGATCTGAAGATAGAATATTGGCAAGTGAGGATTGCCGAGGGTGATGAACACAAAATGACCTGTGTGATATGGTATGTGTCATTTGACTTCTTGGTCATGCCGTTTGGCTTGATGAATGCTCTGGCAATGTTTTGAATCTTGATGAACCAAGCCTTTCGGAAATATATAGAGGAGTTTGTGGTAGTCTACCTGGATGATATTGTGGTATATAGCAAGGCATTGTCGGAGCACCTTGATTATTTGTTGATGGCCCTAGCTCGACTAAGGGAGAATAAGTTATATGTGAAGCTTTCTAAATGCTCCTTTGTCCAAAAGTAGATTGATTTTCTTCGTCATATCATTGAGGAGGGGCGGATCAAGATGGACCAGTAGAAGGTCCAGGCTATCATAGACTAGCTGCCACCCAAGGATATCCATGCCCTGAGGGTGTTCCTTGGCGTATGCAACTTCTATCGCCGATTCATGAGGAACTACTCCCTCATATATTGATGTGCCGTTGACAGAGCTCTTAAAGAAGGCCATGTCTTGGAAATGGTCTCCCAAGCAGCAGCAGGCCTCTGATGCTTTGAAAATGGCTACGTCCAGCAGTCTGGTACTGTCCCTTCTTGATTTAATCAGTCCTTTGAAGTACAGACTGATGCTTCATATTTACGCCCTAGGCGGAGTTTTGCTGCACAATGGCTATCTCGATGGTTACGAAAGTTGATATCTGAAGGATGTTGAGCGACGCCATGTCGCACACGAGAAAGAGTTAATGGTTGTCATCCATTATCTCTGCCTATAGAGACAGTACTTGTTGGGGACCCTGTTCATTGTGAAGATGGACAACATGGTTGTCAGTTAGTTTATGACCTAGCCAAAGCTGAACAACGACAGACTAGATGGCTAGATGGTAGGAACTTCTCATCGAGTTTAACTGTAATTTGGAGTACAAAGCGGGAAGACCAACCAAGTTCCTGATTCACTAAGTTGGAGAGCAAACTTAGCATCGGTGTGCCTACTCGCCACCATCAAGGAAGTGAAGTGTCTACCACTATAAAGGATCAGATACGTGAGCTACTTAGAAAAGACCTTACTACCTAGTATTTGATCAGTTTTGTGGATCATGGCAAGACTGGACAGTTCTACATGGAGGATGGGTTTCTTAGAGCAAAAGGGAACCGCCTCTATGTTCTTAAGGGAGGTGATCTATGGAAAACCCTCCTGAAGGAGTGTCACGATACTCTTGGGAGGGGGCGGCATCTTAGAGAGGAATGGACCATGGAACTACTGCGTCGTGCTTATTATTGGCCCCATATGGAAAATGATGTTGTTAAATATGTGAGGACTTTCTTGGTGTGTCATTAAGACAAGACTGACCGCTTGACCAAAGCGAGCTTCTGGAGTCCTTACATGTCCCGAAGAGGCCTTAGGAAGAGTGTCTCGTAAGATTTCAATACCAACTTGCCCAAGGTCATAGATCTCACCACTATTCTTGTCATGGTCGATCGATTTTCTAAATATGCTACTTTTATTGCGGCCCCAAAGTATGTATCTTCTGAAGAGACAGCTCGACTCTTCTTTACTCTTATTGCCAAATATTGGATTGTTAGTGATCGCGATTCTCGCTTTATTAGAAACTTTTGGACCAAGCTCTTCAACTGTCTCGGGTCCAAGTTGAGCCACAATTTGAGTTTTCATCCCCAATTTGACGGCCAGACAGAACGGTTCAATGGCATGCTGGAGGAGTACTATCGGCACTTTGTTACTGGCTCGCAGAAGAATTGGGTGAAGCTCTTGGATGTTCCTCAATTGTATTTCAATGCCCAAAAGAGCTCGAGTATCAACAAGAAAGCATTTGAAATTGTTATCGGGCAGCAACCACTCCTCCCGTAGCAGATGTCCCAAATGTGTCAAAATCTCCTAGAGCTGTCAGGTTCTCGAAGCAATGGAAGCAGAACCTTGAGATAAAGTGGAGATATCTTGAGAAGGCCTAGAAGCGAATAAAGAAGCATGTTAATCAGAACTGCCGCTTCGTGGAATATCAAGTTGGGACAAAGTGATGGTGAAAATCTCAAAGCGATACCTGTTTGCAGGGATCTCGCCTATTGCAAAAATACATTGGACATCTCTTCATTGTGGGGCGCATTAAGAAGGTGGAATACCATATTGATTTCCCAACTTGGTGGAAGATCCATCATGTTTTCCATGTTAGTTTGCTAAAACCTTATTAGGAAGACAAAGATGCTCCCTCAAGAAACCAGCTCACCATACCTGGTCCGATAAAGCAAATCAGCCGAGAAGAAATTGTTGAAGCTATACTTGACAACCAGATAATTCATGCCTCACGAAAAAATCATCAGGAGTTCCTAGTGAAATGGAGAGGATGTGATGCCCAGGAGAACACATACGAAAGGTTGATAAACCCCAAAGCCCTCAAGGACTTGATCGATGACTATCTTGCGAGGAAGGCGTCAGGGATGTCGCTAAATTAGATGGGCGAGAATGCCATGGGCTGCTTTCCAGCCTTGCCTCATGACCCCTTGGCCCTAGTAAACCTCCTAGCATCGAGTGTCATGGACGACCCCGTGGTCTTGGCTGCGTCAAACCAGAAGTATGTTTGTGCCTATGTTGCCCCACCAGTAGCCCGCGCCTGCGCCCGTGCCAAGTGGCAGGTAATACCCACAAGTGCCCGTTAGGAGACAACACCCTCAATGTCTGCCCGCAGCCAGTGCCTACAAGTATATGCCCGCTGCCAACGCCCGTACGCCCGTGCCCCTCGCGCAACGCATACTGATTGATGCTATTGACAAGGCCACTACCCCTACAAGTGTCGCACATTGGACCAGTTTTTCCTTTGTATAAGTCTAGGTCCCTTTTCATGTAAATATAGATTAGTTTTACTTGTGTTTTTATTATAATATTCTAGCTTATTTATGTCTACTCCTGTAAATTAGGTTTTTATTTTTAAGACATATATAAGGGAGGTATAGTCGTTTACAAGCAATCAAGTCTCTATGATGATGTTTCCTCCTCCCGGCACCACGTTGGCTTTCTCGTAATCATTGTTCTCTATAAATACAAGCAAGCTTTCATTCAATTCTCTCGTTAAAAATTATGATCTTGACATTGGCTTTTTCGCACCACACTGACAGTCTAGTCTAGCGCACAGAGGGGGCCTTTGGTTGGCGCAAAGTAATCACACAGAAGTCGGTTGCTTTGCCTTACATTGTCCTTCCGAGACACCTTAGAAAGGAGCACATAACAATATGTATGTATGTATGCAAGTAATATAAAGTCAAGTAAGTACGGACATGTACATCCGCTTTCGTAATACTACATCACCCCTAGCTATACTGTTAATACCCAAATAAATGTAAACATTCAAAGTGAAGTAACAAAGCACCTGCCAAGTTGTATCCATGGAGAAATTGCAATCAATATAAATGGCACCAATGAGGGATTCAACTATGTCAGCTAGCACCTTTGGGGGATCAATAAGGCCTGTTGAATGCAAAGGATACTCTAAAGTTGCATCTCTGAATTCTTCCACCTGTGGAAATAGTAAACTCGTAAGGAATATTATATCAACCAGTGATGGATGTACTGGTTCAGCAGCAATATGTTTACATACTTTTTTAGCTATATATACATATATATTGAGAAAGCGTAAAACAGTAGGTAGTGCAATGGTACAAATGATAGAGTCAGAGCCAGTATTTCTGTCATGAAGACACTGCTACAGATGGCAGAAGTTATTATGTTTCTCACCAGTCATAAAGTCATCCAGAAAGGTTTTCGCTCTATAGCAGTTCAAGATTAAAAGCACGTACTTAAACTTAGTTTACTAAAAATGGATGGGGAAAATGCATGCGCCATTGGAATTAAACACGTTTGAGGTCATTAAAATTTAATCCAACCAGCTACTACTGAAAGTGAAACAATGGGCAAGTTTTTAATTCATTTGTACGTACCTAGTTTTTTCTATTAGTTCTGACAAATACTTTATCTTTATGATTCTTGAGACTCTGAGATAATACATATTTTCCTCATGGACTTCCGGTTTCTCTAGAAGGTCATTAAAGTTTAGACCCCATCAAGAATTAGAATATAAAAGATTTCCACCATTTTCGGCCTATGGATCAAATAAACCAAGATTTTTGTTACCTATGGCATTTAGTATTAAAGACTTCATGGAAACTAATACCAAAAAGAAACCCTCCGTCTATAGCAAAGTTTATTCACAACCTAAAATCAATTTATAAGATTAACACCAAATAATACGTTAATTAGGTAACTCATTGGTAGAAAATGTAACTGAACAATGTACAGCTATAATATTCTTTTTCTCGTTACTTCCTTATCCAATCTGCTCTTCTCTCCACCATAATAAAGAGTTACCTTTTGATCAGTCACAAATAATAAATGCAATTCAAAACATTTTTTTAAAAATAACAGATATTGGTAGGCAATTTCTTAAAGAATTATCATTAAGTAATAGGTCTACTACTCACATGCGCAACCTCAGTTTTCAATTTTCATTCATACTTTTGTCTCTCTTCTATTTTTTTTTTTCAAAATTTTGAAACAACAAATAAAAAGAACAAGCAGATCTATATTTTCATCACTAAGTAAAAGATTGAGACTCCAAGTCACGCCGCAGGGTAAGTGGAAAAACTATGATCCTTTTGATGGGGTGGAGTATGATGAAAAGAAAATACTATTAGGTGTTAGGATTTCTAGGGTCAAAAGAGTATCTCTTTGACTGAAATTTATTAGGGAAATTTACATGAAAATACAGTTAGAGAAAATACTTTTCGCCCGCCTAACCCACATATACAATTTTCATTCTATAGTCCATAAACATTGATCAATTTTCTGAAAACAAGTCAAATTAACAAATTTCGTCGGACTTCGTCAATCGTTTACCCATTAATCTCGTCGGACTTCGTCAAGCGATTACTCATTTGATTACTTTTTCCTTTTACCGGTCTATTCAAATCAGATTCCACCTTTTTCTCTCATTTTTATCCTTTCCTTTTTTCCATTTTCATTCTTTTTTTTTACTCTTCCCTCTTTATATATTTCCTAAAATTCACAATATGAGGAAGTTGAAGTAAAAAATATATTCATCCTTAAAGTCTATAATTTTAATAATAAATTTTTTTTTTTTTTGCAAAATTCAAAGTTTTGTAAGGGAAATCCTTATTTCACTGGAAAAAATAAAAAATTATATTATTAAATACCTTATCTACATTGTTATGCCTTTAAAATATTTTGAATTGTTAATTACGGTAACTTATAGTATATTTTATGTAGTTTTCAGATGTATAAATTTTATTTCTAAAATTTAAAACTTAAATATTTAAATACACAGTAAATTTAACCCTCGATAAACGAGAAGTATCACTATATTGGGATAACAAGTAAAAAGAATAAATCTTGGACTCATAAAACAAAATAATAATAAAAACAGCACTTACTTGTCCCTTAAGTAGAGGTTTCTTGTGCCGTAAATACTTATGAAAGTCGTATTTGACGGCAACTCTAGCGAGTTTTTCTGTATCAACGTTGGCGGCTCGCAGCCGTGTCAACTTCCCCGGAGGCAAATCAGGGTGAAGAAAGTAATGCTCTTTTGCTATTAGCAAATTTAGCACCGAGTCGCCCACGTATTCAAGCCTTTCGTATGACTCACAGCAGTTTTCTTGGAAAGAAGAATGAGTAAAAGCTTGATGTAGCAAACTAAGATTCTCGAATTTGTACCCTATGATCTCTTGTACTTCATCCACATATCTCTCCCATGACTCAAGGAGATTGGCAGTTTCGTCTTTCTTTGATATATGAAACTCTTGGAATAATGAACATAGTGGGACTTGTTCTAATTTCTCTTCCATGGTTTTTTTTTCCACAAAGAGGGAAGGTTTTCAGAAGATGGTTTGTATACAATATTACAATGTTTTATTTATTTAAGGTGAGAATGGCCTAGTAGTCGGCACGATGAAATAGGTATCAACTATTGTTCAGAACAGGGAATTTTCTCTTTAAAAAAACGACGTTGACAAAATAGCTAATACAGCTAGCAAGAAGATGTTGATAGCGTGTAGAATGACGCCCTAGGTTTTCTATTTTAGGAAAATACAATGTGATTCCAACCGGTGGCAAAGCCAAGTATTTCGTGAAGGGTATTCAAACTTTAAATAAGTAAAAAAAAAAATATTCCGGCAAAAGGTGTTCAATATATGTTATGTATCTCTAAAATCTATAATTTTCCGACAAAGGGTGGTCATTGACCACCCTAAGCAAAGTATGGCTTTGCCCATGATTCCAACGATGATGTGGCTAGAGGGTAACAAATTTGAGCCCGTTTGGATTGACTTATTTTAAATGCTTTTAAGTCAAAATAAGCAAAGTAAAAAAAACACTTGTTTTTAAGCTACAATGACAAAAATAAGTCAAAAGCTAAAAGGTAGAATTCCTAACTTATGGCTTTTGGCTTAAAAGTCACTTACAACAAGCCATCCAAACGGGCTCTTTATGAGCACCCGATATTATATTAAATTATATTATTTTATTATGGTCAAGTGACCAAGTCAAACAAGTTAGTATATATGTTAATTAATTATTACAATTTAGAGAGGGGCCTATTACATAATTAAAGACTTATAATATATAATAATATAATCTTCTTATTTGTTACAGTATTTCCTTGTTATACAAATAGCCACCCAGATTCACTGTTTACTTTTTTCTAGCTGATATACATAAATTATACATTGATTAAGTATAGTTATATACATATTATGCATAAATTTTACTCCTTCCGTTCCAGTTTATGTGAACCTATTATTTGGTCTGTTACAGGAAGAATGACCCCTTTCTAAATTTGGTAACAATTTAGCTTAAACTTACAATTCTATCCTTAATGAGAAGCTTTTATAACCACACAAATACTCTGGGGCCCTTTTTGACTTGTTTAGGATCACAAATTCCAAAAATCTTATTTTTTCTTACTCTCTGACCAGTCAAACAGGTTCACATAAATTGGAACGAAAAGAGTACATATTTTATACATACACCGCTATTTTTTATTTAAAAAATTAGGTAGACGTTTATTTGGGTTAAATTTTCTATTTCGTTTATTGAGTTGCTATAGTATACTGCTTAGTTTCTACCTTTCTACGGATATACATGCATATGTCGATAATTACGCATTTATTAATAATTTGTTATTGACAAATCAATAAATGGTCTCAATTTGTAGCTTGACCATATACAGTCAGACTTCTCTATAACAGCATTCATATATAACAATACTTCTTTATAAAAGCCAAGCTTTGTTGGAACCAATTTTTATGTTGTGTTATAATATATGTTCTCTATAACAGCACTTTGCTATGACATCTAAAAATATTCGGAACAAAAAAGGATGTTATAGAGAGGTTTGACTGTATGAAGTTTGGTTAAAAATTAAAATAAAAGCTGGCTAGATTTCTTTGCTTCGAGGAAGAAGATCTTCAATAATTTATTTGTGGATTCAAAAAATTATGCTGTTAGTCATTCTAGTGCAAAAGAATATTCATTTCACTATAGGTACAATAAATAACATATTCAACATGTCTGACGAGAAAAAAGAGAAGTGAAAATCATTTTCATCTTTCTATTATGCTTTAAAAAATTAAGCATCTTCTCCCATAATAGTTTATATTTTATCCTCTTAGCTCATGATTTAGATATGGAAAAGATATAGATAGACATCTCTCGTTAGATGAAGTTGCATCTCGGTATATACTCGTTAGATGAAGTTGCATCTCGGTATATATACATCTTTTTTCAACCTATCCTATATTACATTGAGTTAATTAATTCAATCTTACTTTATTCTATTTCCTCTTTCTCCACCACTATTCATAGAATACTTCCGGCCCAAAAAATAAAATAAAAAAGAAACAAACATAAACGTAATATTATATATAGTTTAGATTCAGAGTATTTGAGAGGGTGACGTTTTGAGAGTATTGACGTTTTAAAATGGAAAACTTACATTATCTTTGAATCCGTCCAGAAACCGAAGAGACAAGCAAATATGATTGATTTTATTGCACTTGATTTTTTTTTCTCCCCTTCTTTAGGTGGCCTAGAAAAGAAAAAAAAAATAACTAGAAGAGAAGTGCAGAAGGAAAATGTATGTAACTTGGCTATCAAATTTAACCCATGAACACATAACTTGTTCAAAACTTCTAAACCACTTCCACCTCCAAATATCCCTCACCTAATATGGATACGGATGCAGAAACGGCACTAATTCCACCCAAACCATCGGATATTACCAGCGAATGCACTGTCCAATTATCTAGTAATTCACAAGCCTCACTTAATGATAAATTAATTAGGGGAGGGGAAGGGATAGATATTACTGATCTCACCACACCCATAATTAACACCTTATATATCCCTATACCCGATGAAACAGCCACTGAAGAAAAAAAATATTTCTTTCATAAGAAGATAAAAATCGGATGTACATGCGTTGGAAACACTCCATCATAATAAAGTTACAAGGGAAAAGAATCCTACATCAAATCCTAAGGAAAAAAGTTCAAGATCTGTGGAAGGTGTCTGAAACTTCCTCCTAATTGATTTAGGATCAGATTACGTCATTGCGAAATTTCAAAATTAAGAAAGCATGATCTCAATGGTTTGTGGTTTATCTTTGGCCATTTTCTTTAAAGGTGGGAGCCAAATTTTGTAGCATTTGAGGCCAAACAAATTCACACGGTTGTTTGGATTCATCTACCAAACTTATCTACAGAATTTTATGATGGAATTATCCTTAAAAAAAATTGGGAACTCAATTGGTAGACTCCTTAAAATAGATGCTTGCACCTCCTCAACCTTAAGAGGCCGTTATGCACGACTTTGTGTGGAATTACCTACGGTAGCAAAATCAATACAAATTGAAGAGTACAAGCAAGTAATCGAATACGAAGGGGATAAAATTCTATGCAAGCTATGCGGTTTATTAGGGCACACCATACACCACTGCCCTACAGCTGGAATACCAACAGTCCAAACAACGAAGAATGATGAGGAGGCAGTAGAAGAACACCAGGAAAAATCAAGGAATGAGGAAGGCTGGCACACAGTATCCTTTCAAAAACCAAGAAAGGTGCAGAAGAAAATCTCAAAGGAAGACAAAGAGACCAATGTGGATGCAGGTATAAATGTCAAAATTTTTAATGCTACGACAGGTAAGTATATCCATACTCAAAAGCTCAAATTTTTATCCGTGTCTTCTATACAGAGTAATTCTCGATTGGCAAAAACCACCAATTCAACAATGGAGAGTAAGTTAACTAGTCTTGATAAAAAAAATCGCTTCTCTACAGTGAGTGAAGAGCACACTGTTTTAGAAAATAACTCACTTCAAAAAAACTCCTTATTAAAAAATAATAAAAATATCAACACGCATGATTATCTAGAAGACCTTGAAATGACAAAACTAGCTAATACTTCCATTAACCCTAATGGCCCTACTATTCACACGCCTAATCTAATGATTACAGGAAACTTATCAGAAGCCCTAGCTATTAACCCTTCATCTTCTGATAATATTAATTTAAAACATCTTTCTAATTATGATAATACTGTTAGTTCCCATAATCCCTATACAAAAGACAAAAAAATATAAAAAACGACCCACACTTGTCCACCAATATCCTAGATAATGATATTTGCTTTAAAAAAAATCTAAACCACAAAAACCCAAAAAAACGGCTGGAGCTCTGTTCTCTCTCCTCCCACAGGCGATTTTGGGCGATCTCTTGGCCCTCATCGGAGACTGCCATTCTATGGCCTCCACGGCCGGCGGCCAGCCACCCCAGTGGCTGCGCTGCCTCCCCAACCTCCCTCTACCATCGCCCAGCCATACACGACCACAACAACCATCCCCAACCCATGAGTTATTCAAAACTTTTAAAAGCTACTGCTATTAATGCCCCCATGCAAACCCTAGCTACGCTACCATTGAAACCTGTTGAGTTCCTTCATGGAGAACCAGTTGTGAAGTGGAAGAAATAAGAAGTGAAGCAATCCATCATACAACAAGGGCTTCAACTTGAAATTCTTGGAAAATTTTCGTATGGGAAGCCTGTTATTGGTGAATTACGTAAAGTGATTCCAATTCAATGTGAGATTAAGGGTCATTATTCAGTTGATTTGATTGAAGATAATCATGTGTTGATTAGGCTGTCATTATTGAAGGATTATGTTCATCTTCTGTCAAAGCCAGCTTTTTATTTAAAGGCTCAATCAGACATGTGGCAGATGCGTTGTACAAAATGGAATCATTGGTGGATACCTGATGAAGAGACTCTAATTGTAATAGCTTGGATTAGCTTTCCAGAACTTCCTCCAAATTTCTTTGGTAAGGAATGTGTATTTTCATTAGCTCGTGCAGTTGGTAATCCATTACATGTAGACTTAGCAACTCAAAATGGGACTAGACCTAGTTGTGCTAAGGTGAAGATGGAAGTTAACTTGTTAGGTAAGTTCCCTCATCGTATTAAGATTGTGGAAGAAGCTGATTAATCTGGGCCAGAAGAGTTTAAATGGATTAGGATTAAAAATGATTATATGCCAAAATATTGCAAGCCTTGCAAGAAACAAGGGCATAGTGAGGCAGAATGCTGGGTTATTCATCCTGAATTACACAAGAGATTTGATGAAGATGTTGAGGATCAAGGCAAGGAGAAGACAGTTGTGGTGAGTACTGAAGCAATTGATACAACTGCAAATTCAACAAAGGTTCTGTCAAGTAGAAATGTGGTTGATAAGCCTGCTACTAATCATGCCAAGCAGGAATGGATGCAAGCAAGGAAGAATAAATACCAACGGGATAATAGGGGTCACATTGTTGATAACAAACAAGTAAATGAAGCTGACAAGGGTAAAGGGAAGGCCAAACTTGAGGAAGTAGCAACCAAGAACAAGTTTAATGCACTAGAGGTTGAGGAAG